TTTATAAAGAATATCTCTTTGGATTTGAGACTTTAGTCTTTGCAACTTTACAGATCTTCTTTATGCACCACAGCTTGTAACACTCCAAAGAGAAAGGAAAACTTGGAATCGCATCATATGACCCTTTTAATAACAACAGTAACGTTCACTTTAGACTTGGTCAACAAATCCTTGGTAAACACAAAATAAGTGTAATGATGTTGGCACACATGAAAAATTTCACCTTTCATTGAACCGCACTGAATGGACCCTAAAAGACTCACTCACAGATTATTTCATGCTGATTTTCATTCACATGTTCGAGGGGGTGAGTTGTTTACTCTGTAATTAATTCACATCCACTTGGCCATTTAGGCTGATTTTCAGACTGGTTAAGAATCTAATAGTAATTTTTCATAGTTGTTTGATGAAATATATATGTAAATGCATTGCACAAGTAAATGAAACTGATTTGCCTAAAACAGCAGAGTGATGTTCATATTACTTTGCAGGATCTCAGACCGTGGCAGTGGCATTCCTCACAGCATTTTGGATCAGGTGATGGATTACCACTTCAGCACAGCTGAACAGAGCGCCCAGGATCCCCGCATGAGCAACCTTTTCAACAACATTACCAACAGCGGCCCCCAGTCTGGACCCATGCATGGGTAAGAGGAGCTAGACCTATGTGAAAAAGAGCACAAGCTCAAATTAAAAGCTGCTTCAAAGGTTTGGTGCTAAGGTTGGGTTTTTATGTAAATTATTGATGGACTGTTTGGGATCATGTCTCTTTTTTTCAGTTGTAACATGCTTTTCACCTCTTCAAGAGTAAATATTTATGTCTTGTCCACATGCAGCAGCTGACTTCTGTGCATTCTTGCAAGATCAGTATAGTAGCTAAAGTGGTCTGCACTACATGATCCAGATTTAACCAGTTCGGTCTGGATCTGTAAGCGTAAAGTGTTATGCCGGCACTCCTCACTACGAGCAGTCTCAAATCACAATTACAGAAGACCAGATGGCAACTGGCATCCTTTTCTAATTAAAGGGGTCATATGATGTTGCTAAAAAGAGCATTATTTTGTGTATTTGGTGTAATGAAATGTTTATGCGGTTTAAAGTAAAAAAAAACCACATTATCTTCCACATACTGTACATTATTGTTTCTCCTCTATGCCCCGCCTTTCTGAAACGCGTCGAAAACTTGAAACTTCGTTTACAAAGCTCATCGTTCTGAAAAGCGAGGTGTGCTCTGATTGGCCAGCTATCCAGTGCGTTGTGATTGGCCGAATACCTCAAGCGTGTGATGGAAATGTTACGCCCCCTTACCATATTGTGATGCCCTGTCCCGGCCGGAGCGACGATTCAAAAACATTAAAACCTATTATAAACGAGGCATTTGTTGCATCCAGTGGGGACATAATTACAGATTATAATGA